GTTTAATGATACAGTGATAAGTGATGATATTGCAGCTCTGTTTTGGGCTTGTGAGAGCTTTGTCTGAGGTCTGCTTTGTCACAGCCTGGATGGCACAGCAAGGACACCTTGTGTGAGCTTTGCAGCCCTAGAGTTAATTTCTGGACTCTCTGAGCTGGCACAGAGGCAGGTCTACAAACAATGATTTTTTTCTTGCTGGTCTGGTAGAACAATATACAATTAGCAGCCATATGTTCTCGTATATTAATCCCATGTACTTTGAAAATTTCTGTAGGCTCTACTGATCTCAATCATTGGTTAATTAGCATGTTGTATCATTCCTCTCCACCCCAGTCTTTTATTAGCGTGCTTCAAGAAAACCATCTGCCCATCCAAATTAGCTGGAGCCTCAGGAGGGCCATAAGGTATATGTGACATCTTCACAGAACAACCGTGTTTTTCACTGGCATGACAAGGGGATGAAGAGCAACTGACTTCTGCTGTGAGAAAACATACGATAAATGTGAGTGGTACTTGGAGGAAATGAGACCTGTGAATAACATCATTGATACTGGTGGCAGAGGAGATGCACCCTTTATAGAAGGCTGTTTTAACCTCTGCATTGACATGGTCTGCATGGGAATGGCAGTATTTTTTACTTAAAGGGCCAAATTCCCAGATCCACATTGTAAGTGCAAAGACCTGGCTTCTGCCTTGGCCAACTCTTTCCAAGCGAGAAGTGAGGTGGGCATGACGGACAGCAGCTCAGGTGTGGTGGTCTCACTGCCAGGGACATCTCACTGCTGAGGTAAGTGTCTGGAAGGGAAATAAGGCTGCACTCCTTGCATTGGCAGGAGCAACTGCCAATTTTGGGAGCAGTTCCTAGAGCCCCAGAGTCTCAGCGACCACGCACATGGAAGCCATTACCGGCAGTGATACCAATGGCTTCATAGTCTATTGCATTTTGGCTGGTGGGGGTGGTTCAATGGGTAGGAAATGTTGCATTCAGAATTATAGAATTATTATGATTGGAAAAGACCTTCAAGATCATCAAGTCCAACCATAAACCCATCACCACCACGCCTGCTAAACCATGTCCCTAAGTGCCTCATCTACATGTTTCTTGAACACTGCCAGGGATGATGACTCCACCAATTCCCTGGGCAGCCTGTTCCAATGATTGATTCCTCTTTCCATATAGAATTTTTTCCTAATATCTAACCTGAACAAACCCTGGTGCGGCCATTCCTCATTTCCTCTTGTCCTAGGAGTAGTTATTCTGGAGAAGAGATTGACCCCTGCCTCCCTACCCCCTCCTTTCAGGTAGCCTCCTCTTCTCCCCCACCCCCCCCAGCCGCTCCTCCAGCCCCTTCAACAGCTTCATATCCCACTCTTTGGACGCGCTCCCGCACCTCAATGTCTTCCTTGTAGCAAGGGACCCAGCACTAACGCAGTGTTGGAGGGGCAGCCTCACCAACACCGAGGGCAGGGAGACCACCCCTTCCCTAGCCCTGCTGGCTACACTATTCCTGGCACAAGCCAGGATGCCCTTGGCCTTCCTGGCCTCCCGGGCACACTGCTGGCTCATATTCAGCCTGGGGGGGAGCCGCGAAGGCCGCGGGCGCGCGGGGCCGGGGGTCCCGTGGCCCGAGCGATTCTCCATCCCCGGAGTCTCTCTCCATCCCCGGAGTCTCTCTCCATCCCCTTGGTTGCTCTAGTCACTAGGTCGCATTCTGGCTTGGCCTCTATCCTTCTCTTGCAGCTTAACCACTGTGCCAGGAAGAGTGTAGGGTGGTGCTGGAGGAGCCAGGAAGGAAAAATGCCAAATATCTATGTCTGATCCTATGCTCTAATATTTAGGTCACCCCCCCCACCACCACCAACTGGGGGATCCATATTTCCTTATCTGACATCAAGCAGCCCTTGGAGAGACCCTAGCATGATTTTATTCTGAGTTTTGGTATAGTGTGGGTCTCCTATGGGAGAACTAATGTAGTATCTTTTGCTTTCTATAGCAGGAAATAGGATTCATCTCATTTGTCAAGATTTCAATGAAGTATGTGAAGCTGTACTGCTAACATCAATAAACAACTACAGATGGAAATTAGAACAAAATGGAGATGTGACAAAAGGAACAGACTAAAAAGAGTTGTGAAAGGGAGTGAACACAGGTAACAAATGCACTTGTATGAGTTTCAGGTAGCAGACTGAGTTTATAAAATGTTTTCTTGAATGATACTGATGAGAAAGGTTGGGCTGGTGTAAGGAAGTACCCAGGTCACGCTTTTGTACTGAGGTGTCCAGAACAACCCGAAAATAGAAGTGACAACCCAGGGAGCAGGAAGACTTTGAAAAGCTCACTCAGAACTGAAACATGAAAAAACATAGAAAATCACCAGGGAAGGTTTGGACAGTGTTTTGCTCCATCCACATTTGCAGCAAAAATGTAGGTGGTCATGTTTAACAGTAGCTAGTTCTAAAGCACTTGATGTGCTAAAAGGCTTTTGGATAATTCCACAAAGGCTAAGAAATCTGGGGTTGCCAACGCTCATGCAAAAAGGAAATGAATGTGTGATTCCTTTGAAATCCTTTAATATAAAGGAAAGAGGAAACCGAAGAACTTTAAGTACACTTTTATGGGGTAGCACTGTCCTTTTGGGGGTCACAGTGTAGCAGCAAGGATTCTTTCCTGGTTAAACCTCAGCCTAAGAGGTGAGATAGCTGGGCTGCAGCCTGTGGCCACCTCAGGAGTGCTGCGACCAGTGCACACTCCTGCATTCCTGACTGCTATTTAAAAAGCAGCGGCAGACTGGAAATTCATGCTGATCAATTCAGCAGAGCCAAGGAAGTTCAGTGAATTTCCTTCATGTCTGCATGTAAATCTATTCTCTAGGTACCCTTGAACTTTGATAGAGCCGCAGTTCAGCAAATGGTTGAGCCTCTATTTGTGTGGGAAAGAGGATGCAGACGATGTAGGAGACTTTTCACACACCTTGTCTGTGTGAGTATCGCCCAGAAAGACCCCACTCCTGTGTGAGAACAAGGCCCTTTTGGGGGACGTAGCAGGCTGCCTGTGTGTGCCATGGTGTGTAAATACTTCAGAAGCTGAACTAGAAATACAGTAAAGGCATCTGCTGCCCGGCAGCCCGGGACGCAGCACGGAGCAGCAGTTTACTAGCCGTGCTGCAGTCAGGCCCCAGGCACTTTGCAGCTGGGGCCTGCCTGCAGAGCAGAAATGGGCAAAGCCAGCAGTAAAAAACAGCCTCTCCCTCTGTTTTAGAAGTTCGGGAGCAGATAATGCCAGCTTCTTGTGTGAGGCAAGCTAATGTGTGTTGAGTGTCTTGGTTGAAAGCACTACAGAGGTATGATCAGTAATGGAGGTGATAGGATGTAGCACCTGGGGTGCACATATACAAAGAGTAAAGCTTTTCTGGACAAGCTTTAATTCATCTTCTCTGTTTCATAGCGGCATGGAGACTAACTAGGCGAACTGCATAAAGAAACCTTGTGTACTGCACACAGCTCACACCTCAGCAAGCTATTGCTGCTAGTATCTTGTTCAGTAGATAGCTGTGCTAATCTGGGCACTAATCAAATGTATTGCGGGTGCACTGTGGGGTTTCAGGCTGGTTTATCACCCCAGTGATGGGGGTTAGGCAGAATTGCAGGAAATTAGTTAGAAATGAACATTGAAGCTATGTAGTATAGCCAGGGAGGAATCTATGAGGTGTGCAAGACTGGGCCTAAAAATGAAGATAGCGTTGAATATCTGATGATCTTGTAGAATGTTGCGTTTGGGACAACCTGGTCTTCTGATAGCCCATAAATGAGGAGCTCAGTCAGACCACAGAGCAGTGTGGAAGTGCAGCAGGACCTATGTCCTACAAAAGGCCCAAACTTTCTGCTTAGGGCACAAGATCAAGCAGCTGCTGCTGACTGCAGAGCCAAGGGGATCATCTGTGAGATAGCCCATAAATGAGGAGCTCAGTCTGACCACAGAGCAGTGTGGAAGCACAGCAGGACCTACGTCCTACAAAAGGCCCAAACTTTCTGCTTAGGGCACAAGATCAAGCAGCTGCTGCTGACTGCAGAGCCAAGGGGATCATCTGTGAGATAACCCAAGGGTGAGAGCATGCAATGTTTTGGCTGCCAGATACAGATGCAGAACAGCATAGGCTGGTCTTGACACCTTAGTGTCAGGTGTGCAGTGTTGCCGCAGTGGGGTTGCTTTCCCTGAAGCAGGCTGGGTGATGGAGGAAGCACAGGAACCCCCTCTCTCATTCCAGTGACAGCACTCTTTGTAGAGCAGAGATCTGATGCTTGCTAAAGGCAAGGTAGGCCCTGCGAAATTGTCAGCTTTTTACAGAGGCTTGTGGAAAGGATGCTGGGATTGTGCGTGTACAGCTCTGATGTGTAGATATGTCGGTGGTTGTACATATACATGTACACAGTTTTACGTACAGGTGCATATAGGCAGCAGAGAGCTTGACAATACAATGAGAATGCAGAGAGTTAAAGTATAAAGAGGATAATGTGATTAAGGGCTTATGGATGTCCAGACCTGTAAAAAAAAAGGTGACATACATAAATTTGCAGATTTTGTATATAATGAGAGGGGAGTATGATGTGAGTATAGAGTGAGTGGATCTGGAGGGCCGTTTGGAAACAGTGGGCTATACAAAGCGAGGTGCACGGGGTAGCACACAGAGCTGTAGCTCCTTACTGCAGGACTAGGTTTGGGTTTGAACGCGGAGCACGAGCGTGGCTGCCTCGGCGCGGCTGCGAGGGGAGGCTGCGGCGCGCGGGGCGGTGCCGGTGGGCGCGGGGGTGACACGGCGCGCGGAGCGGGGCCGGGCGGG